CCCGCTGGCAAAAAAACTGGCAAAACCTTTCTGGTTTCAGCTGATTTTTAAAAGAGCAAAAGAGGAAAAGGTAATTTTGGCTATTTTTCAGTATTATCAGTTAGGTAAGAAAAGGATGGTATTAAAAGTGAATGCAGAATATATCACATAATGTGATGTAATCAAAAGTAGAAGACAGCACTTTGGGTACAATTTACATCTTGGCATTGCTATCAGCTAACACAAAAACAAACACAGGGGTGAAGCAGATGGCCAGGAAAGCATGGCACAAGACTGCTCTGGCCACAAGCAGATCAGGTCCACAGTGAATGTGCAGCCCACTCTGAAAGTGGGCCATCACCGGCAGACTCAAGCTGCGCTGCCAGGAGCTGGATTAACCTGCCTCCAATCTAAAGGGTCAGAGTGCAGCTTCAATGCAGCTTCCGGATGTGTTGGAGATGTATGTCATATAAACGGCACTCCTCCAATGCAGCAGGAAGCTGGGGTTTTTTTGCCTGTGTGTTTGGGCCTCAGAATACAACCTGGTTTCATTTATTTTCTACAAAATAAAAAAGTATCATTCAATATTTATATTCAGAAGGTTAATGTTGTGGAAGACAGAAAAATATATAGGATTTAGTTTTAAGTCAGCATTTCCAGTTAATATTCTTAACTTTTGTCATGAATACTCCAGTATTAAAATTTGGATTACGGTAATGGTCGCAACATTCAAAGTGTTTTCTGAACATATAAAATAAAGCAGAGCTCTGATGGGCCCTGTAGAAAGATTTGTTCTAACTGGCAACAAGCAGACCACAGGAAGATAAATATTACAGCTTCCCTAAAGGATCCAATTTTCTTCAGCGTGACCCAGATGACACCTTTTTACTCTCCAATACAATTACTTTCAGTGGGATGCGTACACCATGCTATATGTTCCCTTGGTACCATGATCCAGAACAGTGGACCTAGGTTCCAGTTGGGAGGATACTTCCAGAGTGCATCACTCCTTGAGAGATTATGGAATGTTTTAATTTACATAATCTATTACACTGACCAGCTGATATGTCTGAAAGGGATTCATCAGGGCTCCTCATGTGGTCAATATTCCATGTGATTACATGTGATTATATGCTATACAGTATTGATTATTGTGATTACTTCAATTGTTTCATTGATTATTTCTGCTGATGTCAATTAGTTATCATGAATGCTATTTTTAATGGAAAAGTGCAGCAGCAGCAGCAGCAACAACACTTTTAAACAGTGTGTGGTGTACAGTCTATTAAAATATATATATTACAACCTTGCACCATAATACAATAATATATGATAGTCAGTCAGTCAAATTTTTATTGCTTTTGGCCAATGACCTTTGCATAAAACAATACCATAATAACAACAAAGTACATACATATCATATATCCAATGTCAATACTGAATGAAGATATCTAAACATAAAACCAAGGTCAGACCACCAGCAGAGAAGGAAATGTTACAAAACAGCACGATAAGAGTGAAAGGATGCAGAAGCACTACAACTATTATTAAAATGCCTGAAGGAATAAAACCTGACCCCCAAAAGACAACAATGTAAGTATGAAGTAAATGTCTCTGTGGAGAAAACAACAACAACAACAACATGAGATGATAATGAAGTGTACATGTATGAGAGAGCAGCCCTGGCAAAAGTGCTGGCATTTAAAGAAAAGGTGAGGTATATGCGGAGAAGGGTATTTTACTGTGTTGCATTTTACTTATTATTCATCATTAATCTTGTTTGGAAGTTTATTGTTGTTGGTATTACTGTAAATTGCATTCATGTTAACTATTGGAACCCACCCTAGAGTGACTTTAGCCTTAAACAAAACATAGAAGCAACCATTGTGTACCCTAATTTGACACCCCACTATCTCTCCAGGGCAAGTATTATTATTATTATATGGCATCCTTACTTTATCATTTCTATATATGAAGAACTGGAGATGAGTATGTTTGGGAGAAATATTGAATGCAGACGAATCATGTCCTCAAGAACTACGGTATAGTCAGTCCTCCGTATCCACAGATTCTGCTTCCATGGATTCAACCATCATGGTTTGAAAATATTTTTTTTTTAATTCTAAAAAGCAAATCTTGTTTTTGCTATTTTATATAAGGGATATCATTTTACTATGTCATTGTATATAATGGAACTTGAGCACCCACAGATTTTGGTATCCATGGGGGGTTGTGGAACCAAACCCCAGTGGATACCAAGAGCCCACTGTAGAAGCATGCAGTAAGATAACTTTATAGTCAGCAAATATTTGACTGTTTTCTTCAGGACTATTATGATAGTCAGCTATTTATATGAACATTTTAGCATGTACCACACATAGGGAGCATACAAGCAAGCAAACAAACAAGCAAAACAAGGCCTTGGCCTGTGCTGACTCTAATCATTTTAGCTTATGCCATATCTGTTGTGTATAAACCACAACATGCTTATTTCAGCCACTTTCTGACTTTGACAGTCCAGTTCCTCTCCCAAGCTCCCAAAGGAGATATAGAGTTCACATAGTGCTCACATGTTGAAAAAATGTGTGGCATAACCACAGCTTACAAGACTATGGTAGTTCTACAACATGAGATACCTGTGGAATAAAAGAGGTTGTGATGGTTTCCATTTATTCTTGTCATGTAACCCAACCTATTGTTTTTTTGTATCACACTTCACAGCTAAGTTCCCTTCTATAGTTCTGAATTGATCTGGATGTAAGACTATGGAAGAACAAAGGTGACCTGGGTTCACATCTAGGACACCAATTTACTCATGTAAGGGCATATTCACAAATGACAGAAAGTGGATATAAGAAGCATACTGGATCCAACATATGTAGCAGCTGGTCATGGTTCAAATGCACCATTAGGGAAAGAGGTGAACTGAAAATATCACAGATCTCATTTAAAAAAAAAGAAAAAAGAAAATGGAAAGCAATTTGGCCATATGACTGAGCAATCAAGCAATTCTTCTGATGCACTGGCCAATACAGAGGATTCACAATGTGCTGTGAGCTGCTATTGGAGTAATTTGCATTGCTCATGAATTGGCTGTTCAGTTGCCCAATGAGTAATGCAAAAATAAAACAAAATAAAGAATGGACCCACACTGCTGACCACATGTCCAATGTTGCATTCCTTCTCCTGGGTGGAAGGGACACAAGTGAACTTTCTTTTGGTCTAGTATTCCATTTGTGTAGTTACATACAAAAACCTTATGTGCTGATATCCACACAAAATGTCTCAAAAGTAGGATACTAGAGCTGCATTAGAATCTCATCTCACTTGAATAAAATATCAAATGGGCTTTGAATTGAATGGTAAAATGGATTTCAACAGTTCAAAACTCTTCATCAAGAATATTTTTCTCCTTGTCCTCAAACACTCCTTGCTCCCCCACTCTCTTTTTCACTGTTTTCTTCTTCAGGCTCTTAAGTCAAACACTGTATCTGATTAATGAACTCAAAGATTATAGGAGCATTAAGTTCAAGAGCAAGGTTGCTTATTTGTTTAAGAGAGTTGTTTTCTGAGTGTTTCTCTCTATATATTCAGCCACATGGTTGGATTGAAATACTACAGCATAGTCACTGGGATATATGAGCATTGTTTTGACAGGAAAGAATCCTTGTAAACAGCAGAGCAAACTAATCAAAATGTCCACGTTCTTAAGAGAAATTCCACATTTAGATAAACTGTTCTCACAATCTTGGCTTGTGGGGAAATGCCTGTTGGAGGAGGTTTCTTGGACACAATTTTGTAGCCAGATTTAAATAGCAGTGAGTGAGAAGCCCAAGAAGAATTTGTTATGATTAGATTTTTTTAAAAGTTTAGCAATGTGAAGGGCATACTCTTTATGTACTACATATTTTTTTGAGATGATATGTACATATTTTCCCACTGCATGATAAATATTAATGTCTTTTTTTAAATAATAATAATAATAATAATAATAATGATTTCTTGTCCTCCAGATTATGATTGATCCACCCCCTAAGGAAGAGCCAGCAGTGGTCCAGGAGATTTCTGTCCAGAACAGATACACAAAAGCAGATACCACCTGTAATTCATTGTTGTCAGTCGCCACACTCCTAATCGCTTGCAGAAGGTTAAGAAGTGAGTTTGGAAAACTATGTTTTTTGGACTACAGTTTCCAGAATCTTACAGCCAGCATAGCCAATTATAAAATACATTTACTAAGCTTTTGTTAAGCATCATTTTGAGGCAAACATGGTGGAAAACATTACCATTTCTTGTATTTCTTCCATTTGTCTCCCTACAACAGTGATGGAGAAGGATTTTCTTTTACTTCAAAACTGTCTGTCCTTATCCCAGTTTACAAAAATGAAAGAAACTGAAATAGAGAGATTTTCCCAGCCATACAAGAGTGAAAATTTTTAGTCCCCATTTGGCCAGAATCTAGTAAAATTCACAAAATTTAATTGTGGCAGAAATTAAATTAAATTAATTGTGACATTTGCCCAGTCCCTAGAACAAAACTGGCTAGAATTAACATATGTGGGCAAGCAGGAGATAACCAATCTTTTGTGGCTAATGATTTGGTAGGCTATAGGGTTTTGTACGTTTGAGTGTACATGAGTGTGTATGTACACACACATACAAAGATACACAGTCTAGGGTATATAATGCCTTTCTTTGGCAGAAATATTAGTTTTTTATGGGATAACACTGTGACTAAATCTACTGTACTTAAATCTAATATAGTGTACATGGAGAATATTATAGGCCAAACAATTTTTATCTCTAACTTAATTGGTAAAAATATATTTCCACTTCCTATCTTGATTGATTCAAAGAATGAAAAAAATGTGAGAGGGAGCAGCTGTGGGAGGCAGGATGAGCATCATAGTGATAACTAAATCACAGTTATTTGTACACTGGTAACTTCCCAATTAGACTACTGCAGTGAATTCTATGTGAGGCTATCCTTGAAGATGTCTTGGAATCTGCAGTTAATACTAAATGGTATGGCACAGTGGTTTGAGTGTTGTACTAGGACTCTGGAGACCAGGGTTTGAATCCCTGTTGAAGTGGTTAGTCATGGCATTGAAAGCTCTAAGTGGCTGAGGATCTTGATACTTGCAGGAACATCTCTTTTTATATATGCCTGGCTCAAAACTGAGGTTTGCTAGAGGGGCCTTCCTTTGTGTCTCACTGGTAAGAACAATACACTTTGTGAGGATTTGAAAGAGGCCCTTCACTGCTATGGTACCCTGGCTGTGAAATGGCATGGCTCATGGCTTTGGAGGCCTGTTTGGCACCAACACTGGCTTCATTCTGATATTAGATTCAAATGCAACTTCTTTTAAGAGTCTTTGGAAGTCTAGTGATTTCCACCATTTTGTACATTTACCCGCATTTCAACTCCTTTTTGCTTGTCACATTAGTTAATATGTTTTCAGACTGTTTAGACTATCTTTTACTGTTTAAGGTGTTTTTAATTGATTTTATTGTACACTGCTCTGAGATATAGGACAGGAAATACACACACACACACACACACACACACACACACAAAACTGGGCCCAGAAGGAATGGGATCAATTCACAAAGAGGCCATCCTGTTAAAGCAGGAGAAGCTTATATTCCAAGCTCCCCACAGTTCCTTTCCCATATTAATGCTATATTTAAGAATAGAATATTTATGTTGGGATGGGCTACTACATTCCCATCCTATAATTTTCCAGCTTTTAGAAAGAAGTATACAATTATTCTCATTTTTCTCTACTGATCATGTAATTTTATAGAAACAATTGCTTAGTGTTTCTTGGTGTTTCTTGCAAACTAATTATAACTGAGAAAAAAAAAAGATTTTCTTCATTACATTCTTCTTTCACATAACATATTGCTTCCTCTAAGTTATACTCGACTTTATTGTTGGACATGTCTATAAGGGTCAAATGAACCAGTTTTCCCCTGCCCTCACAGAACTCTATCTTGATGATGCAGAGCCAAAGCGTGGTCCAAGTGTGGACTGTCTTCACAATGTGAGGCCAGTTCCACACCAAATCCAGCCTATCCCTTCCTTAAATTGGATTTAAAAGACTTACTACGATGCTGGCTGGCTGTTTACACATGCAGCCTGCTCTGTCATCCAGCATTACTGCTGTTGACCCAAATCACTCCCTCTGAGGTCACAGCAAGGCATCCAGTCATGTGGTCAATGCTGGGCACCTCATTTTTCCAACTCAGAGGGAGTGACTCATGCCAGTGACAGCAGTGGCAAGAAGCACAACACGACATGTGTGTAGACAACAGCCCAGCATTGCTCTGGAGTGTGGAGGGAATGGGGAGAATTCGGGGAAGCTCTGGGGCCAGAATACTCTGGGAATAGCCCTGAGTATTCTGGCTGGTGTAGATCTGCCCATTGTTGTGTGCCTTCAAGTCATTTCTGACTTATGGTGACTCTCAGGCCATATCCTATCAGGCCAACCCCCATCACAGGGATTTCTTGACAAGATTTCAGAGTGGATTTGCTTTTCCCTTCTTCTGAGGCTGAGAGAGTAGGTTTCCATGGCTGCATGGGGATTTGAAGCCTAGTTTCCAGAGTCATGGTCTAACATTCAAATGACTACACCATGCTAGCTCTCTACATGCCACTCACTACGGTTAAATCAAGTCCTCTGATTTTTTAGATGTGCATGATAGGAGACCAGCAACAAATACCAGGTGCTGTAGGCTGTATTTTAGATGAAGGAATTGGCAAAACCACCTTTGAGTATCCTTTGCCTAAGAGAACCCTATGAAATTCATGGGCTCATCATAAGTTCACATGCGACTTGAAGGCACATACTCACACACATATGTAAATCACAGTGAGGGGTTAGCTAAGGGAAACTTGTTTGGATGCTTCCCAATACAAGTCTTTGGATTTTGTAGAGGCTTTTTTTTAAAGAAAGCTGGAATTCTTTCTTGTCTAATGAGTTGATTGCCAAATTTCTTTAAATTATTGCAGTTGCTTCCTGTTTTCATAGTCTGTCCAAAAGCAGACACACAGGCTAACAAAACAAGATGCCTTTATTAGGCTAAGCAATAATACTTTTGTCAGAGTGCAGGTGTCACAATGATTATACACACACTCACATACAGCAAAAGAGGAGGCAGTTTCATTCACCCCAAAAGGAGCTTAGTGACTAGAGTTCATGTGTCTGAGCTCATAAGGTCAGGCTACAGAACAGCAGCCAAGACTTCGCTATTGAAGGGGTTTTTCTCTCAAGTAGCAGACAAACATCCTTCTTGATGTGTAACCATCAGAAAAGCAGAACACTTTAAAAAAGTTTTCTTTTAAAAGTAGTTCTTTTTTCCCATTGAGATTTTTTAAACACAAATTCCCCATCCCTTCACTGTTTTACTTGGATTATATGCTTCTTTATCAAGATAGGCACATTTATCAGCAGTTGCAATGATATAATCTATTTCACTGTTAATAGCCAAGATTTCTGGGATATGAAGTCCAAGTGCAACACTGAGATCTAAGTCTTGATGTAGATCAGGGATGTAAATCATGCAGCCACCTGGATGCTGACAAACTGTGACTCCCAGCACCCCTGGTCATTATAGCAAAAGAAATGCAGGATATTGTGATCCAACAAGGTGTAAAGGGCTGGGTGATTACCACCCTGATTTAGATTCTTCCTTCACATTTCCCATCAAGTTTTGGTTTTGTAGGCAGAAATCCTTTGTCTGGCTCCATAGTGCCTTTTTCTTTACAACACTTCCAGATATAGTATATTCTGCTCCCTCTATGTCTTTCAGGAAAAGACTGGGCCCCAGGTCATGAATATGGCACCCATAGTAACTTGATTCATCCTATTCCATCACTCTAATTTGGATGAATGGACTGTGGCTCAAGTAAACTGACCTGAAGTAGAGTAAACTCATTGAATTATGAGAGATATGTGTTGACTTGCCAAAATACAACAAAATCCATAAAAAAGTGATACCTTTACTGGCCAATTAAAATGTACAAAATACATTATTCAAGCTTTTAAAGCCATCAGGCAAAAGAATTTGAAAAATCATACAGGAGATGAAAAGTGATGATGGTTCTTAAACTTTCTTAAACCTCTTTTTAAGTTTCCCCTGTTGTGACAAAATTTGGTACCATTAATTTGGTGGGTTTACTCTACTTGGGACTAACAATTGGATTTAGGTCTAAGTTTTTCAGTTGTTCTTGTGTGACTTTAAGTCATTCCTGACTTATGGAGACCTTAGTGAGCCTATTATGGGGTTTCTTGGCAGAATTTGTTCAGAGAGGGTTTTCTCTTGCCTTCCTCTTAAGCTGAGATAGTGTGACTTGCCCAAGACCACCCAGTAGGTTTCCATGGCCAAGAGGGAATTAGAACCCGTCTTCCAGTGTCCTAGTCCAACACTCAAACCATTACTATCTATCTATGCATGCACACATATAGTGTATCATGAATTGTGTTGCTTTCACCAACATGACAACCCTGTCTTTCCACTTCCCCACACTTATCATGGATAACAGAATGTATTCCATTTTCTTGATATCATTAGGTTTTTCTCATTAGTATACAACACCCTCCCCTCTACATCCTGCACCATCCATTCAAGAGAGGCATTTTAGACTAGACAGATTATTTGCAAAGGACAGGGAATATGAAAATTGAGCAGGAGAGAAAGAGTGACAAACACAGCTCAACTAGTGTTGAGAGAGGGCAACAAAACAGAGCAAAATTGATGACTTCTTCCAATATGTCATTTGGTTGTTCTTTTGATTCATCAACAGATGACAGCTATTGCATCTACATCTGTTTCTATGGAATAAGTATAAATAGGTTCATCATGCCAGCTTATCTTGCATTGAGTGAAAGAACTCAGCTCTCCCTGGGAAATGTTTCAGATAGCCATGATATCAAGCAGCCAGTCCATCATATTACATATGCTTAGTGCCTGGAAGTCATTAATTACAAATAACTAGATATCTGCAATGAATCCCCTTTTTGGAATAAAGAAGACACAACTAAGTTACAGTCTAAGTTAACAAAGGAGAGCTCCCTTCCTTTCCTAATTAAGTTTTTAAAATTTATTTTATAGTTTTAGGGGAATGGCAGCACTAAATAGTTGAGAAGAAGGAATACCACATGGTTCAATTGCTGCCTCATACTGTGCCTTGTTGAGGCAACCATGAGATGAACATTGCTGTTAATGCTGAGGCAACCATGTGGTGGACAGGAGGAGAGTTTGTTTTGTACCACAGACTTGCAGCTTAAAACATTAAGATTTTTTTAAAAAGGTAAATAAAAGTAACTTTTGTGAAAGAGTAATGAAAAAATAGAACTCATATTTTGGGGAGACTTTAAAATTATAATGCAACTTTCCCTGCTATGCTTGGAGTGGTTTGCACAAGCAACAGTTTCAAGATTTTCTTCTTTAGGTGATATCTGTTGAAGCCATCAATGACACCAGGCCTGTTTTGCGACTATGTGCAGCTTTTCATTGAGACTTTCAAGGAAAGCTAGGAAATCCCTGTCATCACCTATTACAATTAGGCCATCACTTTTCTTGGGAACCTTCCTCAGCAGGTTGACACAAGCTGTTGATGAAGCAAATGGGCTTTGAAAAACTGCATTTCTTTTTTTCTTCTGTTTATTTAGAACTGACTAAATTGTCAAATCCTGTAGGAGCAATTGCATGAGTTACATTTAAGGCATTGCCTGCCTACCTGTCTTTCTTTTCTTTTCTTTTCTTTTCTTTTCTTTTCTTTTCTTTTCTTTTCTTTTCTTTTCTTTTCTTTTCCTTTCTTTCTTTTTTAAAGAGATACTTTTCTGAGGAGACATCATTGTAAATTCCAAGAAGGCAAAAAGGAAGTACCGTCAGCTCTCCATATCCATGGATTTTTTACCCATGGCTTCAATTATCATGGCTTGAAAATATTCCAAAAATATATAAATTCCTAAAAGCAAAACTTGATTTTGCTATTGTATATAAAGGACACTATTTTATTTTGCCATTGTATATAATGGGACTTGAGCATCCACAAAATTTGGTATCCACAAGGAGTCCTGGAACC